TTATCTGAAATGTGTAAAAAGATCAAAAGTTCAGACAATAGTGTATTTATTAATAGTGAGAAATCTGCAATTTCATTACTTATTGGGATTGTTGTCCCAAATCGTGATGCTGGATTTTCTATATTGGTTGCTAATGTTTATTTATTATTAATTATAAACTATGGCTTTGTGCATAGCTTGAAATATTTGGATGTTGGTCCAAAAATAATGCATGGTATTGCTAAATGCTGGAGAAAACCCATTTTCTTAGAAGAGAAAATAAAAGTTACCAAAATCACTATGTGTTACAGTTTTTGCGATGTAGTAAATTGGGATTAGATGATCCGAGAATTGAATGAAGAAAACAGACCATAATCACTGTGTGTTAAGTTTTTTCAATATTCTGATCCTGAGTTGTAAATTTGATTTCAGTAATCTTAGAACTGAGCAGAGTTAAGGATAGATCTGTATTCACGATATCAATAATGTCATAATATAAATTTTTATGTAGCATAGTGAACTGGTTGCAAAAATGTTTAGATTCCATCGTGGTATCATAAGTTAATTGTAAAGTACCTGATCCTTATCCAGAGATTAGGAGGAGTTTTGTCCCGACTGGAATGGAGAATACTTTTTGCATTTAAGCAATTCTTGTAAATCCGTACTAGATTTAATGATATATAAGAGGAGTAAAATTAAATTCCTCGTTGAGGCCTCCAGGTGTTTGTGTCTGGAATTCATAAATCCATTTGGACTCTTTTCGTAATAGCATCGGATTAAAGTTACCTTTGTCCTTGAATCTGGTTCGGTTTTTTTTGCCTCCACTAGGAAAGATTCCTCTTTTGAGCAATTCCTTCTGGCTCCCAGTTACTGTGCGTAAGGTATGCCTACTTTTTGTCGATATGGGTGAAAGCTTTGCCAATGTAAGAGACTGTTTGATGCTGTACTTTTTCTAAACAGCTCGGTCTCTTCGGATCCATCCATATTGAGTAAGATCCTAAGGTCTAGGAATTCTAATTGTTTGCCATAGATCACATGGGTTAATTGTAGTCCAATTTGGACCAATTTGTTAAAGTCCGTGCATGATCCAATACAAAATAATAGGACATTGTCAATATATCTTAGCCATTTGTGGATGATTTGATCATATTTTTTTTATCGTTTCTTTCAGTATCGTTTCTTCCCACCAACCAAGATAGAGGTTAGCGTAGCTCGGGGCACAGGAGGTAATGTTTCCCATCAAAAACAAAGAAATTGTGAGTGAGAATAAATTCCAGGAGTTATAGTATGAGTTTGATTTGTTCAGGATTTAATTTTGTGGATTTGTTTAGAAAATAAGATGTACTACATCAAGACTTGCTAGTAGTGTGTATGGTGGGACGGATACATTTTCTAATGTCAGAAGTACTTGCTTGGTGTTCTGGACATATGAATACAGGTTAATCACAAAAAGGTGAAGCAGTTTTTCTAGGAATTTGCTCGATCGCTCTGTTGGCGAATCATTGCCAAAAATAATTGGTCTCACAAGGGGGTCGGTGAGACATTTATGAAACTTAGAAAGTGGAAATAGTAGGATCAATGTTAGGAATTATGAATTGATATTCTTTTTTTATTAGTCCTCTCTCTACTGCTGTGGTTAACAGTGATCTAAGTTCTGTCAAGAATAGTTTAGTATGGTCCTGAGATAGCCTTTTGTATTGAGTCGTGTCTTCCAAGTGTTTTATGCACATTTTTATATATTTTTCTTGGTCCATGATGACTATATTACCTCGTTTGTCTGAGGGTTTAATTGCTAAGTCTTTATTTTTTCCTAAGTCCATTAATGCTCTCCTTTCAACCCTTGTTAGATTCTCATTGGAATTGTCTGGTGGTGGAAGTGATTCTATGGATTTGGTGGTCATCTGTACGAAGAGATTAATGCTAGATATTTCTCTGACATTAGGGGTGTACCAGCTTTCAGGTTTGCAGTCAATTAGAGGTTGGCCTGTATCTTGCTTGCTTAGGAGTAACACCATAGTTTGTAGAAGTTTGTGGTTCTCGTACGTCAGACCTAGCTCCTTGGCTAGTTTATTGTCTTTCCTTTTGTGTATTGCACTTAAGGCTAATTTTTGTCCAAATAAGTTTGTATCTTTAACCCAATTGAATTTGTTGGTTTTGGGAGAGGGAACGAACGATCGACCTTTGCTTAATAGGGAAATGTGTTTGTTTTTGAAGGAGAAGGTTGAAAGATTTATGATCAAATTTTCTTCTGTATTTTTATTGCTTATTAGTTTTTTTACCCTTCTTTGTTGGTTTTGTATCCCCATCTCTTCCTGTCCCTGAGTTTTCCCCTCTGAGGGAGAGGCCATTCCTGTTTTAAAAAAGATGGTACAGATGAAGAGGATGTGGATGGGGTTTGTCAACTATTAGTAGTAGTGGCAATCAAGCTCAAATATTGTGTTTCAGGGAATGATACGTTTTTTTCTGAGGTTTTCAGCATGCCTTTTCTTCCATATCTGGTGTAGTTCGTAAAGGACCTAGAACTACAAACTACACCAGATACGGAAGAAAAGGCATTCTGAAAACCTCAGGAAAAAAGGATAATTTCCTGATACACAATACACAAACCGGAGAGATGGTGAAGCAGAGAGACTGGCACACTGTACAGGATCTGTTCCCAGCACAGTACAGTAAGCAATCACGCTACACAGGAGGATTCCTGAGACTGTTTTCATTTTCCAGCTTATTTTATAGTATCTTAAGGGATCCCTTAGATTGAAAATACTGCACGACAATACGGGTTGGATTACATTTCTGAATTTACACCCACTTCGAGATGATAGACATGTGCTCATTGTGAGCTAGACATTAATCCACGTGTTACAATATTTTCTAACTTAGCCTTTAGAAGCATCTAATATGCATTTTTTCTCAAGGATTTTTTTTACTTTTTTTTCTTCAATTCAGAAGGATTGTTTACTTAAAGCTATACGTTCCTCTGCGCTCTTTTCTGTTTCTTTGTAGCAATATTGTATATATAGAAAATACCGAGGATATTTCCCAATAAGAGCTGCATTGGGATACTAGCAATTTTACATATATACCACTACTTATATTATTCAGTAAGATACAACTAGTAAGTGGTTTTTATAGTACTCATAATTTGAACACCTTAGGCGATCAGCTCAAAGGCTACCTATATGTCATACACGTTTCTTTTACTTTCTTATATTTACTCTAAGCGCGATTGATTATTTCAATTATTTTTTAATTTGTATTTTGATTTCATAATTTAGGTTGTATGGATTTTATAAAATTGTTGAACTCTTGTTGAAATCTTTTCTATTTTTGAATATGCAATATAATGTATTAAATTATACCAGTAGGGGTTAGCATATTTAATTTTTTTAAAATGTTTTGATTATAAGGATTTATTATATTATAGAAATCCTGCAAAAGTGACTTGAAATTGTGTTACTTATGCTTTCTCTGGACCTAAACTGTAGGAATGAAGACACGTGTGTCCGGTCATTGGATGGATCCTGTTTTGGAAAGCAAAATAATTGTTCAGACAGAGGTTACATAATACTACTATCAAAAAATCTTTATTAGCAAACACAGCTGGATATTTCCTTAACAAATATTGTGAAGGAAAGTCTACATTGTATTAAAAAAACAAAAGGTAAATATAATGCTTCTTTTTCTCTTTTGCTCTTCATTAGTAGCAAAAAAAAAGTGAAATAAAAGTAAAACAAAAGACTTGGTTGTAGAAGCCCTGGTGTCACATCCAACATATCTGGCAATGTCCATACGTCACTTTAAAAAGGTTATTTTTGTGGTATAAAAAATTTCCATAGATAAATGAAGCTATTTATAATGTCTCTGTTGGAATACTGAGCATGTTCTTTGAAGCAGTTTGATAAATATCCTTACACATATTTTTCACACTGCAAGAGAAAAAACCCAAACATTAATCATAGTATCATACCGAATACCACTAAACTCTAATAAATATAATAAATAGAACAGCTATATTAGCGTCTGATTTAAAATGAACTTTACTCACATTGTACAGAGCTATGGAATTTGCTGGTGCTATATAAATAATAATACAATAATAATAATATTAATGAACGCTCCTTAAAGCGAGACTAAACTCAAGAGGCAGGAGATTGCCCAGAGCACCTGCCTTGCAAAGACTTCTCATTGAGCTGCATTTGGAAGTGTGTGATTGGATAAGACATCTGCAGCTTTTGAAAGGTGTTTTTATATATACCAACAATTTAAAAAATGCAAAACTAAATGCATGCATGTTTTCATTGTAGGTATATCTACTAAACAGTGATTTTTATTTTTGGGGGGTTGGGCAGTGTAGTATCCCTTTAAAACCTCTTCAAAATGTTTTCCTCATAGTGTCAGCAATTAAAGCGTCTCAGAGTGAATACTAGGCATGTGCATGGGAAAAATTTTCGGTTCAGTTCGGCATTCCGAAATTCGGGACTTCGCCACTTCAGAATTTCAGTAACTTCGGCACTTTGGAACTGCGGCACTTCGGAACTTTGGCAACCTAGGCACTTCGGCATTTCGACACTTTGGAATTTCGGAACTTGTCTTGCAGCCGCTTGGTAGATAACTCCCTAATTCCCACAGTATTAGGGAGTTATCTACCAAAAGGCTGAAAGACCTAAACTGGTCTTTCAGCCACATTTACTAATACTAAGTAAAATTTACCAAGTATTAGTAAATTTTGCCCCTACTCGCTATACCGCGAGTAGGGGCATGTCTATTAAACAATGAGCAGCCTGTGGCTGCTCACTGTTAAAAAAATTTAAATTAAAAAAAGGGTCCCCACTCCCGAGCTGGGGGCCCTAAATTAGAATAAGAGGGGGACCTATTGCCCCCCCCCGGCCATCACCCCCACCCCTGAGCGGCGTGTGGGGGCCCTAAAGTAAAATAATGGGGGGACCTATTGTCCTCCCCTGTGCCCACACCCCTGAGCAGTGAGTGGGGGCCCTAAATACTAATTGGGGGGACCTAATGTCCTCCCCCTGACCCCCACCCCTGAACGGTGGGCGGGGGCCCTAAATTTAGCATGATCAGGGGTGGGGGCCAGGGGGAGGACATTAGGTCCTCCCCAATTAGTATTTAGGGCCCCCACCCACCGCTCAGGGGTGGGGGCCAGGGGGAGGACATTAGCCCCCCCCCTATTCTGATTTAGGGCCCCCACCCGCCGCTCAGGCACTTCAGCACTTCAGTAATTTCTGAAATTCGGGACCTCGGTAATGCGGCACTTTGGCTAGTACCCGAATGTCCAAATTGCCCGAAATTTGTCCGAATACATGTTCGGCCCAAAACGAATTGCACATGTCTAGTGAATACTCACATAAGAATCCCTGCAAAATTCCACACCTATACCTTACCAAGGGAGTTCAAGAATAGGATGTAAAGTTTACAAAAGATGTAAATAAACGAGAATAGTGTTATTCATAAAACAAAAGAACTTATTTCCTGCTTCACCACAGACAGGATAGAGATTATCAGAAAAAGATTGAAAAAAAATGATGTTTCAGTACCCCTCAATATGATAAATAGAATTATATTTTAGGAAAGAAGTGTTACTATGTACAGTTCTACAGTTCCAACATTATTTGGAGCACAATAAACATAAGTATTTCAAAGATATATAACAGACTGTGGGAAACAATATCTGGTTGTTAGGTGGTAATGTTTGTGAACATGTGATGTGGCTTTGGGGGTGAAGTGCATGGTGTAGTCATGGCTGTATGGAGGAAGGATTGAATGATGTGGCTATGGGCTTAGGACAAGCTTTATCCCAATAGTGGGGATTTTACCACTATAGGCGATCCACACTAGAGCTGGCCATAGCTCCCTTATATGTGAGTGCAATATCATTATTACCTGTATATGGCTTACTAAGTCTTTGCCTCTTCTTTACCAACATACGGAAACCAAAGACACCCAGACCTTCCATATCCCCCAAGGACAAAGAACCTAGGAACTACAGTTGAACCTTCTCTTTTAATAAGAGACACTTTCATATGTGACTATTTGCACAGCTGGAACAAGACTATTTTTGTTCTTATTTTATTTTATCTTATTATATATGGCGCAGCCCTATCCTGTCTTTTTTCCTTGTGATATCCTAAAGGATTGAGAGGGATCCCCTTTTAAGGGTTGTTGCCTTGTTGTTTACCTCTTTGTGTTACTAAGCGCTGACCCATCTGTGTATTGTTAGAACAAGCTTCGCTTTGTTATGAGATGAACAGAGGGTGCATTAGGAGGCCAAGTTTACTGTTGGATATTGATAGGCTGGAAGAGCACAGACTGGCTTGGGATTTGCTGTGGGTTGGGGAAGCACAAGATGGGACAAATTGGGGAGCAGTGACAGTTTAGGAGTTTTGGAATGGGTCAAGGAGGAAAAAGACAAAACAGAGTCAGAGAAAATAAATGACATAAATATATATATAGATTGTTAAAGGACCACTCTAGGCACCCAGACCACTTCAGCTTAATGAAGTGGTCTGGGTGCCAGGTCCTTCTAGGGTTAACCCATTTTTTCATAATTATAGCAGTTTCAGAGAAACTGCTATAATTATGAATGGGTTAAGCCTTTCCCCTAATCCTCTAGTGGCTGTCTCATTGACAGCCACTAGAGGCGCTTGCGTGCTTCTCACTGAAAATCACAGTGAGAGTATCGCCAGCCATAGGAAAGCATTGTAAATGCTTTCTATGAGACCACTGAATGCTTGTGGCTCTTGCAGCGTGCGCGATTCAGCCGGGCGGGAGGATCGAGGCGGAGAGGAGGAGGAGAGCTCTCCGCCCAGCGCTGGAAAAAGGTAAGTTTTTACCCCTTTCCCCTTTCCAGAGCCGGGCGGGAGGGGGTCCCTGAGGGTGGGGGCACCCTCAGGGCACTATAGTGCCAGGAAAACGAATATGTTTTCCTGGCACTATAGTGGTCCTTTAAAAAAAAATCATAAAGAGTGCCCTCCCTTAGCTCTACTTCAGCTTCATTTTATTTACAATGAAAGTGAGTCATTTGAGATCATCATCAAGACAATTTTAAACCTATGCAAAGATTTGTGGCCCTCGCAAATGATCACAACTTCATTATAGTGGCTCTGTCAATTTAGAAAAGATAGAATAAAATACTCATATTGACTATATTGGAATGTCATTAAAAGTCCAACGCAATCAAAAGTAATTTCAGTTACAATGGGTGTCTATTTCTGTTTTGTTTTTTAATTTTAAACCCTATTTCCACATACAAATGAATAGAAGTTGTGGTCACCCCACTGGTCCTATAACTGAAATATTAATTTTGTTTGGGAAACTCAAACTCACTTATTATTAAAATATTAAATAAACAAAATAAAGAACAAGCTTCAAATATATTTTAGAGAAAGAAAATGATTTGAACACGTACTTCTTACAGCGACATCATCATATATCTCCTTTTCCCTGCAAATAAAAATGTAAAATGTATACATGTTAAATAATATACATTATTTAATAGAATACACATTTATTAAATACATACTTATATTAAAAAAAATCCCATGTAATATTTGTGAAGTTGTATCTGTCACAGTCAACCAGTTTGGATTGAGACAGAAACCCAAAATGTATGGTATGGGCAGACACTCTTAAAATCGTATTTTGTTAGCATGTCTTCTGCATTTTGTCAAACTGATTTACATCCATGGTAGAAATAGATATTCAAACATATATTGGCACATTATTTAAACATATAAATACTCAACATTTGAAAATCTTATCTTAAAGGATCACTGTAGTGTAAGGAGTACAAACATGTATTCCTAAATCTACAGTGTTTACCTAACTGTTTAAGTCACCAGCCCCACTTAGATTGCTTAGGAAAAGTGTTTTACTCCACTTTTCGTTCCACGTTGCGCCGGTCTCGCTGTGACTAGCTCAGCCTCCATGCCTAAGATCACCATTCTTGGTGATGTCAGCCAATCCAATGCATTACCACAGGAAGGCATTGGTAGGCTATTGCGCATCAGTGGCAATAGCCAATCAGCATCTCCTCATAGACATGCATTGAATGAATATATCTATGGGGAACGTTCAGCGCCTCCATGCAGAACATGGAGATGCTAAACATGGGTGCTGCACACTGTGCAGCACTGAAATAGGAAATACCTCTAGTGGCCGTCTGAGTGACTGTCACTAGAGGTGGTATTAGGCAGCAATGTAAAAACTGCCTTTTCTCTGAAAAGGCAGCTTTTACGGTGCTCAGCCGCCCAGGACAGGCTATAGACACCATAACCACTACATTAAACTGTAGTGCTTTTGGTGGCTATAGTGTCCCTTTAATACCAGATGGTATCTTATCTATACATTGTGCTATCAGAATTGCTATAAAATGTATGTATTACAAAATATTCTCCTCAGTTGTCTATCAATTCTTAGCATAGAGGGCAATGCCAAGGATTGAGTGAGAAAGGTGAGTAGGAAAACCTTAGCCCAGGTGTTTTCCTCATCTCTGTCAGAACAACTACATCACTCTATTAACATGCCAATGCAATGGCAATAAAGCCAGGGCATTGACTTCAGGGGTAGATGTGCTATGCTTGGAGACAATTCCCCATATTCTAATCCTAAATGATTCCCCAGCCAATCATTTATGAGAAAAGCAGGAGATAAAATAGTACCAGAAGATGGTTAAAACAACTACAATCCTGGAATCATGATGGCACAGACAATGCTGAAGTAGTATAAGTTTAGATACATGCTTATTTACTAAAGTGAGAATTCAAGGTGAATTTGAATTTTAAGGTCAAAATAGCCAAAATGGAAAAATTATCTTAGTCAGCTATGGTTTACCCTTAACTCTGGCCTTAAATTTTAAAATTCACTATGAATTCACCTTGAATTCAGTAAAAAAAACCCTGCTAGTATAGTTTTGTTATTTTTATATATGTTTAATATTTTGTGTTAAAATGTTGTTTCAAATGTGGCATTACCAATTAATACAATTATATAAATAATATACTTACGCCTGTAAAACATATCTTCGTTTAACATAACCATCTGAAATAATTAAAAACAAACAAGTTAATCCCACCTTGAAAGTGTGCTGCATTTGGGAAACAGTTTAAAAAGTTAAATTATGGAGTTATAAAAAGTGCTATACAAGGTCTAAAACATTATTATAGGGGATTGCAGATCTTGCTAAGAAAGATAGTCTAAAGAAGTTACATATGTATATGAATGAAAAAGTACATGTTACATAGGGGATATTATAACAATATATATAACTTGCTCTCTCGTGGCCTATATATTAACAGGACTGCACAAAGGTGAAGAGATTGTCTTTTGAGGCTTGAAGAAAGGAAATTTCCCCTACAGCAAAGGAAAGTGTTCTTTACAGTAAGGACAATAAGAATACATAATTCACTAGTTAACATCACTCAGAATGGCAAAGATAGACCAAAAAGACCTGACCAAAGGATCCTGTCCGTAAAGGTTTATCATCTATGGACAAGATATGATGTCTGTGAGTCAATAAATGTAATTTCAATGAGGCACAAACATCACTGACTATGGATCATAAATACTATTTCTTTATACACATGAATATCAGTGAGACAGCCCCCCTCCCATTGTAAGATTCCATCAGCAACATGCAGTAGGGCTGGATTCTCATAGAAGATGATTGAGTTAAAGCTTACTTTAATTGTAATATTTTGAAGAGGAAATATAACCTTAGAATTATAGAAGTAATACATGATTATGCAGTGTGAGTTTAACATATTGGGTTGATTTATAAGTTGCTGTAAAAATCTTTAAGCTCATGCAATGAATAGCGCTTATTATTCATAAATTAATTGTATGCAAGTTAATAACATGGCTCACTGATAAAGTCAATATTTAACCTCCTCGCAGATATGTTCTGTTTGGGGTCTTGAATATTCACACTATGTAAAAAATTGTTAATGAATTCCTACTCACTCTTCCTCGTCCTCCAAGTTCTATTCTGAAGAATATTTTACTTCTTTAACCAATTGCGGTTTGGTTAAAATATGGTTACAGAATAGTTGCAATTCAGAGGGAGCTAATTTCAGCTACTTCAAATTCTCTCAATGCTAAAATGAAATCCATTAGAAAATAGCAAAAACCTATTTTTCTCAAATCTGTAGAATT